GGACCTTAAAAAGAGGCTTGCACCTTCAGCAATATCAGCCAGATGCTGCCATCCCTGGATTGCAACTTCAGCCACAGTGCTGGTGGCGCCTACCACTGCTGAGGAATGCCACCTCAAGAACTGGGCTGCAGCCAGCCATTCCAGCGCAAAGCCCTAACTACTTGCATTCTGCAGGTCCTGCTGCCCCCAGTAACTGTTAGCCACATGTATAAGCCTTCTTCCTTCACATGTACCATTCTCCTGAAGCTTTGGAAGGCAATATTTTGAAGAACAGCACATTCAATTTGAAGGAAGGCGAACATTCCTTCTCATGAGGTTTCAGATGACTTCAAAAGCCTTCCAAATCATCACAAAAATGGTGTGTGCAGCCTCTGGAAAGAAGCCCGGTGCAGCTAGGAAGAAAACAGCAAATGTTGACTGGGTGAACCAAGGCTGGTGGAACATTTCAACAGTTGCTGATTCTTAAGCAAGGATTATCTGTAATTGAATCTAGTTCATTCTAATTCTCATTTCTGCTTAAAAGTTATCTTATTTATTTATAGGATTGTTTGCCACCCATCTTACTATCTGGGTGGCTCACAAACATATTGTGAGCTGTTTATTGAAAAGTGAACAGTTTCAAAGTTACCTACCCACTTCTACCAATAGGTTAAAAGTTGTCAAAAGTTTTAGAATCTTGACTAGTTAAAAAAGAAAAAAATGAAGACAAGGAGAAAGTCATTCTTTTTCTGACCGTAGCTTATGGGTCAGTTCAAGAACCAAAATTAAATCCTATATTTGTTTCCTCCAGCCAAGTGTCAGTTAGGAAATGGATCACAAGAGCCTTCATGAAAGAATTATTAACTGGATGAGAGAGTATATCTTATCAAGTATTGTTACTGAGAAATATTTTCAATAGTTACTAATATCTGGAAATGATTCCCTATAAGATTACTTGGAAGGAATCAAATTGGTTTCCCAATAAAAATACACAGAGCTGTAGATTAAGTTAACCAAAGCTCAGAAGATTTGTTACAGTAATCAAGACAGACTCAACTGCTGTAATTCTACTATTGTACTGATTTCTACTTAGCAAAGTTGCAAAGGATAGGGATGCAATCTATTCCTTGCACTTTTACTCATTCTGTGATTTACCCTCTGTCTCTTCTGTTTTGTGCTATGTCATCTTTCTTCAAGAATGATCATGAGATAAGAAAGATAATAACTTGGTTCCTTTTCTTCAGACTTTCCCACTTAACTTTGTTCACATGCAGGTATTTGACTCTTGGATCTGAATTCAGGCTTTTGATATGACTTATAGGCAAATTTAAAAACTACTTTTATTTAAAAATTCATGTGAAACAAAGTATCAACCTAAGGTCAGATTTTTATGAAATAAGATTTTTTGATGGGTTTTTCAGGGGATTGTACACTGACCTATGATCAGAAATTGGATCTTGAAGGCATCACCCATCATAAGATCCTACCAATTTTTTTCCCTAAGCTATTACAGTAAGTCTGATACCATTTCCAAGGCACCAGGCTGAAAGATGTGAATTTTCTAAACCCCAAAGAATGCTATAATCCTCCCGGAAATGTAATTATTATACTGTATTACCATAATGAAATAATTATACAAAAATGAAGAAAATGAGTCTTATTTATGGATTTAGAATATTACTGACACAGATATGACAAAGCTGACAGTTTTCCATAAGTTCCATTTGTCCATAAGTCTCAAGTCATAATTAAAGTACCATTTATGTCACAGTTGGCCTACTATTGGGAATTAATCCCTAAAACATTAAATAACTGCTATATTTCGTAACAGCTATTTGAGCACGGAGGGATCTGTTTACACGGTACATTTTCATAAGGAGTACTGACTACTTTCAGTTCTGTACCTTTTATTCTAGCAATACAAAATTTATTGATTCACTTCTTTCTCAGAAGCCCTAAGCACTGAGAAGTCTTGCATTTAAAATTACAACAGCCATATTTTAAAACAGATCATACGTGCATCAAATTACATTTTCAATATTCTATGTTTGTTCTGAACAATACACATTTTAATTTAATTAATATGTACTCTATATATACAATTATTAATTTTATTAGTACCTATTTTAGTCCCATTCTGTTCTTTTTCTATTTTTAAATGAATACATATAAAAGGAATTTGTTGCACTTTGTTTTTCAGGAATGATTCAGAAGTATGACAATGGTTGTTTTTTTTAAATAATATTTTTATACTATAATACTATGCCTACTTACATAGGACTGACCTAATAAAATCATTTTTTTACTATTTCCAAATAAGTGGATTACAGGTAGTTTTCAACTTAGGACCTTAATTGGAACCAGAATTTTTATTGCTAAGTAATGCAGTTGTTAAGTAAGTCAAACCTGATTTTACGAACTTTTTCCCAAAACCGTTAACTGAAACACTGAAGTTATTAAAAGAATCATGTGCTTGTTAAATGAATTTGGCTTCCCCTATTGACTTTGCTTGTGGGAATCTGTCTGGGAACATCATGAATGGTCATCCCATGACCCTGGAATACTGCAACCATCATAAATACATGCCAGCATCACGATTCATTTATGGCTGGGACACAGCAATGATCTGTTGCTAGAAGAACAACTACATCTACATCTGCTGGTCTCTTGAGAAATAGGAACATTCAGCTTTTTTTTTTTCACTCGAATTTAAAGCATCCATCCCACAGATAAGTCACCTGAGCTTTTTCCCACTCATCCTTTCACCTCTTTCCTGGCACCATTGCTATACCAGCTAACCATACTCCAGTTTGATTAAATATCTAGTAACCAAGCAAGTAGAAAACAAAACTGTCCATGCAAATACAAACAAATTTTACTTCAATTATATTTTATGTTTTCTATTTGAAGTTATTATCTCACTTTGTGATCACTTTTCTTGTATGTTATGTATATATAGGAAACACACTGCCAAATACTTTGAAAGAGTTAAAGTGTCATTCAAACTGTGATTGTTATTTATCACTGAATGAACATTGACTGAATATTATTGTATCTTACTACATCTCAAAATACAATGTATTAATACTGCAAATGGGGTTAAGGGAAAACGTATTAGATCAGAAAGATGACATATGGGATGCAGCCCTTTAATTTCTAGCATAACTGACTTTTCTTCTTTATACTATTTAAACTACACTGCTCAAAAAAATAAAGGGAACACTTAAACAACACAATGTAACTCCAAGTCAATCACACTTCTGTGAAATCAAACTGTCCACTTAGGTAGCAACACTGATTGACAATCAATTTCACATGCTGTTGTGCAAATGGAATAGACAACAGGTGGAAAGCATAGGCAGGTAGCAAGACATCCCCAATAAAGGAGTGGTTCTGCAGGTGGTGACCATAGACCACTTCTCAGTTCCTATGCTTTCTGGCTGATGGTTTGGTCACTTTTGAATGCTGGCGGTGCTTTCACTCTAGTGGTAGCATGAGACGGAGTCTACAACCCACACAAGTGGCTCAGGTAGTGCAGCTCATCCAGGATGGCACATCAATGCGAGCTGTTGCAAGAAGGTTTGCTGTGTCTGTCAGCGTAGTGTCCAGAGCATGGAGGCGCAACCAGGAGACAGGCCAATACATCAGGAGACGTGGAGGAGGCCGTAGGAGGGCAACAACCCATCATCAGGACCGCTACCTCCGCCTTTGTGCAAGGAGGGACAGGAGGAGCACTGCCAGAGCCCTGCAAAATGACCTCCAGTGGGCCACAAATGTGCATATGGCTGCTCAAATGGTCAGAAACAGACTCCATGAGGGTGGTATGAGGGCCCGACGTCCACAGGTGGGGGTTGTGCTTATAGCCCAACACCATGCAGGACATTTGGCATTTGCCAGAGAACACCAAGATTGGCAAATTCACCATTGGCGCCCTGTGCTCTTCACAGATGAAAGCAGGTTCACACTGAGCACATGTGACAAATGTGACAGAGTCTGGAGACGCCGTGGAGAACGTTCTGCTGCCTGCAACATCCTCCAGCATGACCAGTTTGGCAGTGGGTCAGTAATGGTGTGGGGTGGCATTTCTTTAGGGGGCCGCACAGCCCTCCATGTGCTCGACAGATGTAGCCTGACTGCCATTAGGTACTGAGATGAGATCCTCAGACCCCTTGTGAGACCATATGCTGGTGCAGTTGGCCCTGGGTTCCTCCTAATGCAAGACAATGCTAGACCTTATGTGGCTAGAGTGTGTCAGCAGTTCCTGCAAGACGAAGGCATTGATGCTATGAACTGGCCCGCCCGTTCCCCAGGCCCGAGTCCAATTGAGCACATCTGGGACATCATGTCTCGCTCCATCCACCAATGCCACATTGCACCACAGACTGTCCAGGAGTTGGGGGATGCTTTAGTCCAGGTGTGTGAGGAGATCCCTCAGGAGACTATCCGCCACCTCATCAGGAGCATGCCCAGACATTGTAGGGAGGTCATACAGGCACATGGAGGCCACACACACTACTAAGCCTCATTTTGACTTGTTTTAAGGACATTACGTCAAAGTTGTATCATCCTGTAGTGTTTTTTTCCACTTTAATTTTGAGTGTAACTCCAAATCCAGACCTCCACGGGTTGCTAAATTTGATTTCCATTGATTTTGTTGTCAGCACATTCAACTATGTAATGAACAAAGTATTTAATAAGAAGATTTCATTCATTCAGATCTAGGATGTCTTATTTTTGTGTTCCCTTTATTTTTTTGAGCAGTGTATATTAAGATACCCAGGTATTAATCAGTTACATTGCTAACATTGCCAGTTCAGCCTACCCAGTTGTCTGAAAACCTGGAAATAAAACAGGATCTAAAAACAGTAGGGAGGAAGTTAATAATAAGCTGCCATGAAAATACTTTCAATGAAAACAATATAAATCCTTTAAGCTTCTTACTTGATTGAATACAATGAATAAATTAAGAAACAGTAAGACCAAAAAAAGAAAGAAAGGAAACAAAGTTATTGTTCACTTACATATGATGTAATAGTCCTCGTTTCTCTGAAATTCTAGACCCCAGAGGTTAGGGCTAAACTCTTGAAACTTGATGGTAAACTTAACATCTTGATCAGGCTTGGCACAGTTGAGCAGGGGAGTGTTGTCCTTCTTAACAGTACAGCTGTCTGCTTGGTCTTTCTCAACCATATAGACTTTGTAGTACTCATACTGACCACCAGTCTTAGAGTCCACCTTTGGGCATATAATATCCAGTTTATCTCCAATCTTTGGATACAGTACTAATCCTTGTCCAGGATGGAATCTAAAAGAAAAAAAACAGATAAAAATCATTCATTAGATAAAGAGAAGTTATGTATCATACTCATAAAAAGAAACCTACAAACTGAAGGTATCAAAATAAACAAACAACAACTACCCAATTTTAGTTTTCTTTACTATGGACAAGTTGAAATCCAAAATGATAAGTTAATTATCACAAACTTCTGGATCTACCTTAAGAAGAATTCAAATTAAGTTTTATTCAACAATATAAGAATTAATTAAAGATTTTCTTCTTGAGCTTGTTCTAAGCAAAGATACTTGGTCAAAATAAATGGATAAAATAGGACCATCTGATCTAGTATCCAATATTAAGTACTGGATAAAACTATTTGGAGCCTCTGTTCATTATACAATAAACAACTATTTCCACTGAGGTAGAGGCCTCATCTCTCTCCTAGTCTGCCATATGGAGAACCAACAGCAGCTGCAGCTTCCAAGCACTGGATATACATCTGACCTTCTTTTATTACAGCATTTTATTATCCCTTAGGAAGGTTTCAGCTTATCTTTTTGAAACGTAAAACAAAAGAGTGAAGCTTTTGTTTTGTTAAAACTAGAACCTGCACCAATAACTTGTTAAATGTTCCTGGTATCAACCAGATACATTAAATATTTCAAATTACTTAAAACTGGCTATTCACTATTCAAGCAACTCAGTTTACCTTAATGTAAAACTACCTTAACAAAGGTTAAGTTTTAAATGAAAATAATTTCTTGGTTTAAATGTACTCTGTTTAAGCAAAAAAAAGTCACTGCAATCTTTACTTTCTGCCTAAGATTTATGAGTCCCAATTAATATTCTTAGAGTTATGGATGCAGAATCTCCCTAATATTAATACCCTTTAATATTAATATTAAACACCTCCTAATCTAAACATTTCACGACAGTTATCTTACTGTAAGAGAAAACATTACTGAAGAAATTGGCTTCTTAATGAATAATTATTTCCAGCAATTTATATTAAGGACTCCACAGCAGACACTCATATGATCAAAAATATAAAATAATGGATAAGTACTAAGTCCCCAACCTCTAGTGCTGTTTTATTTCATGCATTTCCAACACAGGCTCAAAGGGAAATTATTTTCATCCAGGCATGCAGATTTTATAGGCTAAATATCTCAGATTACTGAAGATAGAGAGTTGTCATAATTTTAGCTTGGCCATTAATCAGAAAGATAAACACCTGAATGTTTGTATTTATACACAATAAAAGCTGCTATATACTATTGCACAATCCTTCAGCAAAGGAAGCAAACTATGAACATCTTAAAGTAGTCCATAACAAATAAAATTCCCCATCTGTTTTGAAAAAGGTACATGAGGTGGCAGTGCCCAAGCTAATTAAAACAGATACACCCTTTTTGGACTTGATCAAAAACTTCCTGAATCCCATACATGGTACCAAACATCTGAAGGACATATCCTCTTTTTTAAAAAGTGCAGTGTGACATGTTACAGCAGGTATAAGCTACGTACATCTGTAGCAGTTGGGTGTATCTGGCAGCAAAAGCATGAAATAAAAAGTGTCCCAAAGTTGACTTACGGGTGAAACTCGAAAAATTAGAATATCGTGCAAAAGTTCATTTATTTCAGTAATGCAACTTAAACAGTGAAACTAATACATGAGATAGACTCATTATATGCAAAGCAAGATAGTTCAAGCCATGATTTGTCATAATTGTGATGATGATGGCTTACAGCTCATGAAAACCCCAAATCCACAATCTCAGAAAATTAGAATATTACATGCAATCAATAAAACAAGGATTGTACATAGAACAATATCGGACCTCTGAAAAGTATAAGCATGCATATATACTCAGTACTTGGTTTGGGCCCCTTTTGCAGCAATTACTGCCTCAATGCGGCGTGGCATGGAAGCTATCAGCCTGTGGCACTGCTGAGGTGTTATGGAAGACCAGGATGCTTCAATGGTGGCCTTCAGCTCTTCTGCATTGTTCGGTCTCATGTCTCTCATCTTTCTCTTGGCAATGCCCATAGATTCTCTATGGGGTTCAGGTCAGGCGAGTTTGTTGGCCAATCAAGCACAGTAATCCCATGGTAATTGAACCAGGTTTTGGTGCTTTTGGCAGTGTGAGCAGGTGCCAAATCCGGCTGGAAAATGAAGTCAGCATCCCCATAAAGCTCGTCTGCGGAAGGAAGCATGAAGTGCTCCAAAATCTCCTGGTAGACAGCAGCATTGACCCTGGACTTAATGAAGCACAGCGGACCAACACCAGCAGATGACATGGCTCCCCAAATCAACACAGACTGTGGACTTCAAGCATCTTGCAGTGTGTGCCTCTCCATTCTTCCTCCAGACTCTGGGTCCTTGGTTTCCAAATGAGATGCAAAAGTTGTTCTCATCAGAAAAGAGGACTTTGGACCACTGAGCAACAGACCAGTTCTGTTTTTCTTTAGCCCAGGTAAGACGCTTCTGACGTTGTTTGTTGTTCAGGAGCAGCTTGACAAGAGGAATATGACATTTGAAGCCCATGTCCAGGATCCGTCTTGTGTGGTGGCTCTTGATGCACTGACTCCAGCCTCAGTCCACTCCTTGTGAAAGTCCCCAACACTTTTGAATGGCCTTTTCCTGACAATCCTCTCCAGGCTGCGGTCATCCCTGCTGCTTGTGCACCTTTTTCTTCCACACTTTTCCCTTTCACGTAACTTTCTATTAATGTACTTTGATAGAGCACTTTGGGAACATCCAACTTCATTTGCAATTACCTCTTGAGGCTTTCCCTCCTTATGGAGGGTGTCAATTATGGTTTTCTGCACAACTGTCAGGTCAGCAGTCTTTCCCATGATTGTGATTCCTACTGAACCAGACTGAGAGACCATTTAAAGGCTCAGGAACCCTTTGCAGGTGTTATGGCTTAATTAGCTGATTAGAGTGGGACACTTTGAGCCTAGAATATTGAACCTTTTCACAATATTCTAATTTTCTGAGATTGTGGATTTGGGGTTTTCATGAGCTGTAAGCCATAATCATCTCAATTATGACAAATCATGGCTTGAACCATCTTGCTTTGCATGTAATGAGTCTATCTCATATATTAAGTTCACCTTTTAAGTTGCATTACTGAAATGAATGAACTTTTGCACGATATTCTAATTTTTTGAGTTTCACCTGTACTGTTCACTCCCACTGTACATTTTTATTCAAGTAAGAAATCATATAAATTAAGCAGAGGAACCCAAATAAGTATAAAATTAATATAAAAGTAAGGTGAGGCAGACAGAGAATATATAACTTTTAGTGGGGATATACAGAATCAGATGTCGTTAATGAACAAAACCGATTTAATCTTCCTTTAACTGTTTTTATTTGCCTTACTTGTAGCTTCTACAATAGAAAATATGGAACTGCATATGTTTACTAGGAATCCATCCAACAGACACAGACTAATGGCACCTTTTGCCTAAACATATCCAGCTTTTATACTACCCTAACTTCAGCCCTGGGCCAAGCAATTTGAATATGAAATACACAAATTCCACAAAGCTTATTTTTTACTTTGCTGAAACATCCCATTACTTTGAGTGGGGGGAGGGGGGAATCAAGAATAAAGACATTTTAAATTTGAAAATGTATGAATACATAATATATCAATATTTATATTCTAAAACCTACTTTTAATTTGGCTACAACTGATATCTCCTTGTTCTGGGATATTTTTGTGATTTTTAGAGAAAAGGGCATGAGACTGTGGCAGTTGGTTCCATCTGTCTCCTAAACATGAGATATTAGAAAAGATGAGCCTCTAGGCTAAAAGTGTGACCATCAAGGAACCATATCAGTTTTCTTGACCAGTGGATGGAATCCCATTGCTCCTTATGTTCACTGAACATCTTACACTATTTGCTTCCCAACCTGTTACTGAAATTACACATAAATTAAAGTTGCCAAGCCCAAGTATTGTTATCAACAGAGGGAATACTCCTCCAAATATTGTTCTACTCTGTAGATTTATTTGATTTGATCAAAACGTATATTTATTTGTATCCCACCTTTATTTTTACAAATAACTCACAATGGCAAACATATCCAACACATTTTTCTACTTCTATTTTTTCTCACAATAACAATCATGTAAGGTAGGTTGGGCTAAGAAAGTGATTGACTCATAGTCACCTAGCTGGCTTTCATGGCTAAAGTGGGACTTGAACTCATCGTGCCCCACTTTTCTAGTCTGGTGTCTCAACCGCTAAATCAACTAAACCACTAAACTGTTTCTATTAGACCAATGACACAAGTAATATATTTTCTCATTCTTAAGAATGGTTCATTCTACACCATGCTTCTTGATTCAGCTAGCTTTACAAATGTCTTTTTGTTACCTTGAATATTCACAATCCTCAAATTATGACCATTAAACAATGGTTCAAATAAATGATGGCTTTCAAAAAAGGGATTTAAGACCTAAATTCAGGTTTACAACTAATACCCTACCTCTGTGGTCATTTGATCACAATTCTTGCACTTAGGAACCAACCATCTTGCATTTATAACCAGCTGCAGCATTCCAGAATCATGGGATGTGAATTAGCAATGTTTTTGGCCAGTTTCTGACAAAAACTGCCATTGGGTAAGCTGGATTCACACCTATAACTGCATGACTTGACTTATGACCATCATAAAAATGTTCATAAATTCAAGTCAGATCACATGATGACTCGAGTTATGACAGCAATGACTTACAACAAAAATCGTGATTCCAACTGAAGTAATAAATCTAGGACTACCTGTTTAGAATACTTCTAAGTACTACCATACTGCTATGGAATTTTATTTTTATAAAATCAGTACAATTATTCCATTTGAGCAGAATTACATTATTTCTTCTGAAAATACAAGTATCACAACAATCATGTGTTCATTTGTTATACTACAACTTTAAACAATGCGCTGAAGATCTCTCTTGAGTGGGAAACATGTAAAGCAGAACTAGACTGCTAACAATGAGCTTCCC